AGACTAGGCGGCATATAATGGGATGGGACCTTCCTCTGGGGCAGTGCGCATGATTGCCAGTTTGACACACGCCTGCGAAAAGTTCTTTCACCTCAAATGATTTCTAGTTTCATGTTTTAGTTCGATGATCGTAAACGATAAGCGGCGACTTCGGGCATTTTCAATGCCAGCTACAGATAAGAGCGTTGATAAGGGGCGGGGCGCCAATACGAATTATAAACAAATTTATTTGCGCGTGGCATAGGGAAGAAAAAGAAAGAGAAACAACAGAGCACCTACGAAAACAGAAACCAAACAGGTACAGAAGGTATAGGCAGATTTCATTCCTGCTATCAGCGCCAAAAGACGCTACTATCTCGCTCTTTCTGCTGATAATTCCAATGCAGCAGCAACATTTTAATAACCTTATATTTCCGCTTATCACATATCGCTTATTTAATAACAATTTTGTTTTGTTTTGCCCATCTTTCGGTGAGCTTTGCGCTTTTGCAAGCCAGAATCTGCCAAAAAAAAATTTATATATACACTTGACGAGTTTCTATTGGATTGTATTACCTACGACTATGGAATGCTTAGGCTCTGATAATCAAGCCAGTTAGCTTCCTCAAGGTCACGTTGATAAGGACTTCTTCGAAAGTAATGCAACGGAGGTATATGTATCGATTAAATAATAGAGTTGAATTGGGAAAAAGCAATAAAATCATGAATGGATATAGTAAATTGCCGCTGAGAAACGTTATTGCTTTACATTTATTTCAAATATCGAGTAAAAAGCGAAATAAATTTAAACATTGAAAGAGCTTATAAGCTATTATATTGTACTATTTTTGAGGTGGTTGGCATGATATTTCAAGTTCTACTGAACCTTTGAAATTCGGTATATATCTTGTTTATACTACTCTCTATCGCGTCTGCCTCGGATTTGAAAAGGTTATGATTATAAGTATTTTTGAAATATTTGAAAAGGTCGAAACAATTGTTTAAAAACCATTGTTTGTTTTAAAGTCAACGCCGATTTGTTATTTTGAATTTTTTGAAAAAGTGGTCAACTCGATGACGGCATCTTTACTAATGAAGAATTTGTTTGATTTTTTTTCTGATCTCTACAAGGGCTGAAATCATGTCAACCAGGACGCAGCGATTTTTTTGAAGACCCCACTTCACAGGCCTGTATTTTGGCGAATATTGTGTTCTTTAATTGTCAATAAAAACTGTATATTAAAAATGTTTTTGATTTCTTTTTTATCTGACTTGAAAAAATGCCTAAAATTAAGGTTTCTAGACCAGAATACCCACTTAACAAAAGCAATCATATAAGATGATACAATTAACTATATTTTGCAAGTCAATGCATCAATTATGGGTTCAAAGCATATACACAAACCAATTAAAATGATGCAATTAGCTGAGTAACCAATAATGCCCGAGCGCACCGTAAAATAACCGGCATGAATTATTTAATCAGCCACAAATATTGACAAACAAATTATAAATATTCTGACAAATCTTATATTAAACTGAATGGTCAAAAACTTGTTCGAGTGATGTCAACTCTCGGCATCCATTCCCATCCTTAATCTGCCTCCATTCCCGCTCTCGTTCAGTCATCTTCCATCAGTCTTTGACCGTTTCGGATTCTTGAGTTTGAATTGCCGCTGCTGCCGGGCTGCTGTTTATGTTATTAACACAACAAACAACCACTTAGCTTCAAAAATGATTTCAAGCATTTGGTGGGGTTTAAAAATAAACATCAAAGCGAGAAACGGCGACGGAAGTGCGAGTACATAGAGTACGAGTAAGAGGCCAAGAGTGTCCAAAAATAAATATTGAGATGACTATTTTTAAACTGAAAAGCCGCGTATCCGTTCCTCAAAAGCACGGGCACAAATTGAAGTTTTTATATGTGGATGGGGGATCGAATTGGATCGCAATGTTAATTGGCACCGCTCGAGCGGTTCGGGTAGAGTCTAGACTCGAAACAAATCGTTTTAAATTAGACCTTTGACATCAAATATCAATTCTTACAGAAAACCATTGGAAGTAAAAAAAAACAATTATTAGTATCGATGTTTTGTCAGAACTTTAAGAGACATGAATCATGAATCGAACTGGATATTTTTTTCTTTTATTTTTCTTTACTTAAGACAGTCGCATTGACTTCGTATTATTAATTATGCAGGCGAAATTACATTTCAGTGATTTACCTACTCAATTAAGAACAATAAACATGGCAAATAACAGTAATTGTCGCTTATGTTGTTGTCGTGGCTGCATTTCGCAGTTCATAAATCAAGCGCGAGCGCAAGAGTATCTGACAGATACAAATAGCGAATGGCCGCCGCCGTAATGATTGCAGCGTTTACGTTCATTTACACTCCATCAATTGCGTAGTTTACGGCCGGCCCAAAGTCGGCAGGGAAAAGTGCGAAACGAGAAACGGAAAAGTCATCATCATCGAACCGCGCAGTCGATGCATACAGGGGTTTAATCAGTAGTTGTATAGTTGTATACTACTACATAATACGCAGTTTCGGCATTCTATATTTAGTACTACTCGTGGGGCAATTAGCCATCCGAATGCGTAATTCTTACTGCGCACATACCTCGATGCAATGCCAGTGTACATATAATTAAACATGCTTGTTTAGTGATCAAAACAATCATTGAATAACACTTGCATATGAGATGCTGTGTGCAGTCGATCGGGTATGGTGTTTAAAATTGTTAAAAATTAATATCGTACAAAATTATTACACGGGTTTAATTAAATTAGCATAGGATTTCCCACAGGGTTATGAATTTAGTAAATTTAGTACATGAAAAAAAAAAATAAAAATGAATTTTTTAAGATTGTCAAATAAATGAAATTAAAGTCACTTATTATTACTTAGAAGCTTTTTGAATAACCATTTAATTCACATAAGTAGTTATATCTCGGCATAGCCAACAAAACACATTGAAAGTTGGAGAACACACCAGATAATTTGCCGTTGATAAAATAAATTACAGTTGATAATGTATTGGTTTTAGTCAGGCAATAACATTTACCCAGCTCTTCTGGGTAAGTATTTTCAATAAATTTTTAGTCAATCGACTTCTGTTTATATTTCCCATGTGCATGCGTGCAGCAAGTACAATTTTCTCCCCCTTGGGGAAGTAGGTAGTCTCTCATTTCAACGCCATCTTCGTGTATTTCTCTATGTGTTTAAGCCATTAGGATGTTAATTAGTTGAAAACTAATTAAGCTAAACCCAGTATTTGCAAAACATTTGCGAACTTAAAAACATTTGCAAAAAGCCAAAGACTAAACAAGACGTCAAGATATTGGTAGAGAGAAAGTTAATTTGTTCTTGGAAATTTACAAGAACTTCAATTTGGACCACTCTGTGCCAAATATTTAAACTTTCTACGTATTTTGTTCGTTTGTGGCCAAAACGCAATTCGATTCTGCTAATGCGCACTTTTGCGAGAGATTAGACCAAAGCTAATGACTGCGCATATTTCTAAAGCCCACAGAAATATATGTATCTGCCAGGTACACCATGCATTTAAATATGTATATGGGTCAGTCGCGATAAGAACCGATGCAGGCATATGTGAGTGCCCAATGAACTCACGTGAGTGCGATTTGTGAATGATTTACGACTTACACGGCGAATATCTTATGACTGTCTGGCATGGGACTGGATAATGTCCTATGTCCGATTTGCGATAGCCCATCGAAGTCATTAAGGCCTCCAATACCCATTGCCCTTCTCAATGTACAATATGTATAAACTCACATATGGGCAAATTCAATTTGCGTGAGTAGGAAACGAACATAAATCAAGCGCAGTGCAAATTGTGGGAATTTGAGGCTTGCACATTGCAGAACTGGGCAACTGGAGCCGCCAGGAAATCTTAGCAGTTGATCAATTTTAATGGCCCGCCACTGGAATTACACGATTCCCCTATAACCCATAACCAACATGGGTAGCATTTCCGCGGCACCTGGCATTGCAATTGCGAATGAAAATAAATATTAAGCCAGCCGGGTCGGGCCACACACATATTTACAGTGGTTAGAGCTGGGTTTAAGTTTTATGAAAGTTAAATAAAAAATAAAAAAGAGGTGTAAGGGTTTGTTTTAGTTGATAAGACTGTACTGTTGTATACTTCTGAAAGGTATTGAACAAAAACAACATTGGTGTTAAATTGATTAAAACAATATGCTTTGAACGTTTAAGAAAATTTCATACACGCATTTTCATACACAACCTTTTTCACTAACAATTTTCCCTAACTTTGTCCCAGTGTGGGGCGCTCGTTTTGTGTGAAATAAATGTTTATCAGTTCAAAGCGCGCCAACGATTGTATTGGCAATTATACCGGCACATCGGCGCCTCGCACGTGACCACTTTCAAGTTCAACGCCGCAGGAAGGCAGCAGTGCTGGCGGGACGATGGGTGTAAGAATTCTTATCTAAGAGGGAGGTGTGACCAGACAGGTGAGCTCACCCAACGCTGCTTGTGTCAAGGACAGTTGTCTTATGCAGGGCAAAGTTCCGTTCTCAAGTTCAAATGCAGGATTATGCAGAAAGTTACGGCCAAGTTACACAAGTCATGGGGAAACTTTTGTTTACCTGGGCTATATTGCTGTAACATCAGTTTAGGGTATGACATGAACTGTGGCATAAATGAAAATATAAAGCATATAATGCTGCATTATATAAACTTTCTACCCTTAATAACTACTACTTAAATATATATGTTAATATATTCCTATATATTGCTTAAAAAATTACTATAAAATCCCAAAGACTTCACATTAAACTTGCTCATTTATAACATTCCTGTTTTACCTATCAAAACTTATCATTCTACCTCTCTCGCACTCCGTCAGTCGATTCCAAGTCTTCACTGTAAATAATCAACTTCGACGATGTGCAAAAAAAAACCAAACAAGCCCCCATTTTGTCATATTTCACAATATTGCACTTCTTTCTGTTGCTGGTGCCATATATTATTTATTTGATTTATGTGGAAATTCTGTCCATATTTTTAACGTTTACTGATGAGTTTTCTATTTCTATTTTTCCCCAAGGCACATGCACCTGTCGGCGGTACAATCGATACATTTTGAGGTGTATTTCATAAAATGGCATTAAAAGGAATTTGAGCTGCCAAAACGATTCGTATTTCGGTGTGTTTGCCTTTTATTTGAAGTGAGCCGATTTTCAATGTGTCCGGAGGGGGTGAGCGGCCAATTACGTGGCGACGCCCCGCAATTCCAAATCAATTATGACATTGAGCTCTCTAAAAACTGGCGCCATCGATGTGTCATGGAGTGCGGAACGTTCGATAAACAAAATTTGACATGTTTTATGGATTAAATAAACAGTGTATACGTATTTCTTTTCCTTTTCCTAAAATCCAGCGGTTGTTTACTGATATTAAGTACTGTTATATTGACTCCCCTTTTCCTTCAATATATTTTCGAGTGCACAAGTGTGAGGGGTCTGAATAAATAGCGCAGGCAAATGGAATTTCAAACGGAAGTGCCGCTCCTAGCGTCTACGTCCACAGCTCCAGCGCCTCCGGCTTGGGCTTTGGCGCCCATTTCGGCTCCCGCTGCAATGCCAGCGGACATTCCAGCTCCGGGTCCGTCCTCGCCGAGAGTGGCTGCTCCTCCAACTTGTCCACCGGCCCCCGCCGCCGTGCCCACGCCCCCTTGGGCGGCACTCAGGGAATCGGGTTGACCCGGGACTTGAGCCTCGGCGATGCACTAATGGAAGGGGGTGTGGTTAATGGACAGTAAATCATTTGGTATTTAATTAACTCCCGAAAGGATCGCAACGAAAACTTTAAACTTAATCAATTTTTCCGAAATATTCTTACTCTTTAGTTTCTTCTCCTGATGTGAGCATTTCTTCATCAATCTTCAATTACTAAAATATAATCCAATATATAAAAACAATGTATCTACACGGTCAGGATTAATTCAAAATTTTGGAACTCTGCGAAGACAACTGATAAACAATTGTTTTTTTTAATTTGTTCTGCACTATAATTGTTTTTCCTTTCAAGAGGTTACCTTAAACCGATTTAAAATCTCACAATTAGCATCGCCAAACTAATCCAGGATAAAATCGCGAATTTCATACTTAAGAAAACTTTATGAATGCAGGTAAAATAAACAATAGGTTTATTCCTGCAAGCTCCACCGCTTTTTATACTACCCATAATGTCATGTTCGACCCCAACCAGATCTCGTGGGAAACACATACTTTCTATTATCCAAACACAAATCTTGGGCAGCATTCAAAACTATTAGTGAGCAAACATCGGATTTCCCCTGCGACGATAAGCATCTACCGTAACCAGGCGTTGTCGTGGGGCATCTCTTATATATTATTAATAAATTTTATTGTTGACAATCGCTTAATTGCTCCCGTGCCCCGTGCATGCTTCTGGCGTGAGTCTATTAATAAATAAATAAATAATTAACCAACCAGTTCAGTCGAGTCAACCAAACAGTGGAATGATGACATTGCGACCAATACAGTTGTTATTGTGGGAAAAATATTGAGTAATCGTGCAAAGTACAAGGTCAATAATAAAAAAAAAGCGAAATAAAGTTAAACTTGCTTTAAAATATTGTTTATGCTCTCGGAACTCTTATCGCACTCAACAAAGCTAAAAGGCGCCATCAAACGCTGAGATTCTACGAAATAGAGTGTATTTATTTTCCAAATTTCGTTGAAGTTGCCTTATTTATTCTTAAAACTCATAACATAACTATAATATTTAATTTAAGAAATTCAACTGATTTGTTTCGTTGTTTTTTTGTTTTGTTTGTTAATTTGGCTTATTGCTAAATCTTGTATTTATATAAATAATAGAATAAATATATCACCATTTTGTTTATGGTGCACAAGCAAATTAAAGTCAAAATCCCCAAAAAAATTTCTAAAATAAAAATTCCTAAATTAAGAATTGAAATTAATATAATTGATTCATTACTGGTGCATTGCCAGACAGACCCCCTTTGGAATCTCCAATTATTCAGCTCGAATAAACGCAGAAGTGATAAGCAAAACAACTACATTAAACAAAAGCAGACACACACACACACCTACATATATGTAATTACAAATTCAATGATTTTTAGAGTCAATTTGTTTATATGCCATGTTGCAGCGCGACGGAGCTTCCATAAAAATTTAAACGAAAAGAAATAAATAAATAAGCCGTTTGCCAATTTGCAGAACGCAATGTGCTAGCAGAAACAACATCCAGTATTTTATACACACATCCCATATAAACAGTCATATATGAACATCGTTTGTCATTGTTATTTGCTCATCTGTGGGTGGCCGCAGTAATGGGCAATATTCCCGATTATCACGTAGCTCAATCCCAAAAAAATATACACAACGATGGAGCGGGGGAGTGGTGGCTGTGGCATCATTAAAAATTAAATCAAAATTAAATGTTCATCAAATGCAATAAAAACGAGTGCGCATGCGATTTTTATCCACTTTTTTCTGCTTTATGCATGTGCGTTTTTATTATTAATTTTTCTCATCCTATAGTTGTATTGAGGAAGTCCATTTGAGGTTTGTGCATTATAGCTCCATAACTGTTTTGAGTTCTTTTACGGAAAAAAACATATTTATGGTTTTGTTTTCTCGAATTGATATGGCGAAAACAATGCGTGTTTTTTAAAGAACCATTTCAATTTGTAAACACATTAAAAGTGAATGAGAAAAGTGTAATAAGAATTCAAAGGACTTCATATCTCTAAGTTCTGATGATTTGATTAACATTACTATGATGAAATTAAAAGAACCCACGTTAAATATGCATTTCTTTGTAAAAGTACGGGGAGTTGGTATTTCGGCGGATGTTGATATGGACATAACGCTCGGTCATAATTACAGTCAATTCCCAAGTGTATCTTTAAATTATTGAAATTACTTATATATGCTCCGAAGGCCGGCGAGTATCGCATAATCGCCTACGGTGCCACCCCGTATCATATCAGGCGTATCATGCTTATTTTGCGGGTTTATTTTCTGAGAATTTTTGACGCGTACGTGTGACATATTTTCTGGAGGCGCCGCCGATAAGGCGCTTCAGACGACAGCAATAACAAAACGAAAGCCAAACAAAAACACCGAGGAAACAAAGGCAACAATAGCAGCAACAACGGCCAACTGCAAGACAACAATCCCACAGATATAGATTATACAAACTGACAGTTGTCGTAGGTATACGAGTTGCGTCGACGCCGCCGCCACTTTGGCATTCAAAGCATCTACGTCCATGGAAATTGTAAGTCCCCGTCGAGTATTTGCCTTCAGAGCGTCTCGTCAACACAATCTTCGATGTAAATAATTACAACGAATTCGAACAAAACGCAAATTCTTACTAATAAAGCCGCAGCTTAACCCCTTTTCACAAATTAAGTTTTCTACCTTGATAACTCATATTAATGATGTTAAAAAATAACTCATAATTGTTCTTGAGTATAAATCCTATCCATATATAAATATTAATATAAATGTACACCATATAAAAATTGTACTAATAATACTTTCATTTAGAGTAGTATTAAGGATATTTATTGGCACTTTAAATAATTATCTTTAGGGGACTCCATATTTTGAACTATTGTTTGTGGACAGCAGGTTCGACAACCCATATATGATTCAGAGTACCTCTCTTCCATCTATCTTTCCTGGCTCCCTTTCTTTGGGGATTTTCGCGTGGGCTAGTGAATTTCGCAAGAAAAAAATATTCCCTTTACCGACAAACGATATTGTTTGATTTATGCCCTGGTGCTTGGTCCTCAATGAAGGTCGGCTGGCTATGGGCTATATCCCACGCTCGTCCAGACGGATAATTAAGTTGCTGGCCCTCTGAATACCACTTGCTATCAACAAAAATTCGCTTGTGGGCTTATTAATTGCCCTTGCCAAGAGCAGAAAAGACGGGTGGGAAGGGGGAGTAATGTGTTTATAAAGCGTAAAATGAAATTATCATCGCACATATTCAATTATCCTGCAATGAAGTGAGGCTGCACAAGGGGAAAGGCGGGACATCGACCTCTTGATCCCCGAGGAGATGGAGCATCTGTCTGGGGTCATTTTGATGCCGCAAGTCGCTATTTAGCACTTGGTTGTTAGACGATTGGGTCAACAAACTCAGCCGTCATAAAATCTTTACCGCGAATTTTAGGCATATACAAAGAAACAATAAAACTTTTTTCTCAATTAATAATGCGAAACAAATTAATTTTTATTTGATTATACTGCAACTAGTTCTCAGTTCTCAGTTCACTCACACGTGAATACTCTAACTGTGTTGGTGAGGGGAGCACTTTGACAAATGCGAAAACAAAATGTTAAAAAAATGCAAAGATCTTGACTTTTTCGTCGAAACTCAATATCCCAAGCACTTTCTGCACTTTCAACTACACTTTTCCTTTCTTTTTCTTTTTTTAATCAACGGAATCTTACGAAAAACACATTCCTTTACCGGCGAATTAAAGCTGCACACGTAGTTGCAAATAGAGAAACATTATCGATATTCGGTAATTTGCTCTCATTTTCTCTTATTTTAGAAAAGTAAGCACACATGTGCAAACATACATACATATACTGCAATGGCATTGGCGACTTACACAAAATAATTATTCTGATCTCTTTTTGGTAGAATTAAAAATATATTTTTTATATACCCACAAAATGTAAGTCATTTTAAATAGATTTGTTGTATTAACAAAATTAACAAAAAAAGTTTTTAACTTTCTTGACTCCTTTTACCATTTTTGATAGGAGAACTCTTATACTTACGCATTTACTCATGAATATTGCATTTGTATTGGTGAGGGGAGCACTTTGCCAAATGCGAAAACAAAATGTTCAAAAATATGCATAGATCCTGACTTCTTCGTAGAAACTCCATAAGCCAAGCACTTCCTGCATTTTCATCAACACTTTTCACTACGTTTTATTATTTTAAACCAACAAATTATTACGAAAAAAATATTTCTTTGCCAGCGAATTAAAGCTGCAGGCATGACTACAAATAGACAAAAATTATCGACATTCGATAGTTGGCTCTCTTGTTCTCTTCCACAAACTGGTTAACTGTCAAAAAGCTGAATGCTGCAGCATCTACGTGGGTGGTCCATGCTTAACGACAATAAACCCAATGCTACAAACTCCTTGAACTTTAATTCAGAAAACACTTGTTTTTGCAGTTAAACTCTTATACTTACTCACTCACACATGAATATTTTAACTGTGTTGGTGAGGGAAGCACTTTGCCAAATGCGAAAACTAAATGTTCAAAAAAATACAAAGGACTTGACTCTTTCGTCGAAACTCAATATACCAACACTTTCTGCACTTTCAACTACACTTTTTCTTAATTATTCTTTTTTTAATCAACGGAATCTTACGAAAAACACATTTCTTTTCGGCGAATTAAAGCTGCTGTTGCAAGTGGTTGCAAATAGAGAAACATTATCGATATTCGGTTATTTGCTCTCTTTTTCTCTTATTTTAGAATAGTAAGCACACATGTACATACATATATTGCAATGGCATTGGCGACTTACACAAAATAATTATTCTGATCTCTTTTTGGTAGAATTAAAAATATATTTTTTACATACCCACAAATTGTGAGTTATTTCAAGTATATTTGTGGTAATAATAAAATTAAAAAGCTTTTTAACTTTCTTGAAATTCTATTAGTTTTTCATTTCTATTTTCAACATATGTATGTATGTATGTAACTGCATTTTTGATAGCTGATTACTCATACTTACGCATTTACTCATGAATATTGCAATTGTGTTGGTGGGGGAGCACTTTGCCAAATGCGAAAACAAAATGTTCAAAGAAATGCAAAGGTCTTAACTTTTTCGTCGAAACTCAATATACCAAACCCTTTTTGCACTTTCAACTACACTTTTCCTAAATTTTTCTTTTTTTTAATCAACGGAATCTTACGAAAAACACATTTTTTACCGGCGAATTAAAGCTGCACAAGTGGTTGCAAATAGAGAAGCATTATCGATATTCCGTTATTTGCTCTCTTTTTCTCTTATTTTAGAAAAGTAAGCAAACATGTGCATACATACATACATACATATATTGCAATGGC